TTCGTCATAAATATTTCCCTTTTTGAGTTGAAAAACCCTACACCTGTATGCATCGTTGGTAAGGGTGTCATACATAACTCAGGCTGAACTTTCTCTCGTACATACGTATTAGGCTGAGCTTTAGCCAGAAGTGGCAATAACAACTCAACTGCAGAAGACAGCTGATCAACTTTGCATGCTAAATCAGAAGATTTCGTTTTCTTACACTTCTTTTCACTTTGAGATGCTTGCTTACACTTACGATCAGCTGTGGTGATATTGGATGAAAGTAGCAAACTATCCGATGCAGATTCTAGACCGGCCAGACGAGAGTGATGCAAATGCATAATGGAGCATTCCAGGCACGGGTCAGTCAGTGCCTTTCTAAGATGATCCCTACTCAGACAAGCAGGACATTGGCGATGTCCATCCATGATATCCATTACATTGGGGCACGTAGAACATTGAAGTGTATCCATGTTAAATCAATACTCACCCTAAAAGTCGATAAATCCGGAACACGTTATTGATTCATGCCGCGATCATACGCGTATACGCTCTCAGCCGAGGCAGCCAGGGCTTCCGAGTGTATATCGTCACAGAGGCTTTCAAACTTGCCGGCATCCAGCAGATTGAAGCCTCTTGCGTGATGCAATCCGTATCTCACAATCGCTGTGCGCCACGAGATGTGTTTAAGTCCAACAATTGGTATACTAAAGCGATGTAATCAAGACGAAACAGCTCACGATATATATCCTGAAGATCTCTTCAGCAGCAAGCTGCACAAAATATCGTCACGTTCGATTCAACAAGCGAGAATGAGAAAGAGATCGAGGGTACATGGTAAGGGGTAATTATAGTTCAAGGCACGTCACGAATAACCAAAGTGACAACTTTGTCATTCGATTCTCAGTCAAGCTTGAGCGCAGGGAGTTTTCCACTAGTGCTTTCAGCACTGCATCAGGCGGTCTGGAGCGAAATGAAATAGAACAAATAATATTTAAACATAAATGTAAATCAAAAGTAAATTTTCTTAAATGGCTACAACAAATGCATTTTCACCATATTTTAGGAATAAAATGTTGTCATTCAGTGTAAATCAGTGTGAATGATATATGAACAAACCGCTCAGTAAAAGTCTAGAATATAGAAAGGATTAAAACTCTAAAGTTTGGTGTAAGAAAGAGAAAAAAACTCTTTTAAAGATATGGATTTTAATTGAAATCTACAGACACAGATAAAGTGCAATAAAATAAACACTTTAATGTGTAATTTATTTGTTTTTTGTGTGTATGTTTTTGGTTATTGGTGCATGTTTTCTTTCCACTAGTCTGAGCAAAGACTGTTATGGAGCAGAATGGACCAAAATATCAAATTTGAAAATAGTCACCTTTATTAAAATAGATCAAATGCAAATAGATAAAGTGTAATAAAATTTTATTAAATGAAAAAAAAAATACTTTAAATAAATACATAAATGCATACATACATTTTGGATCTTTTTCACTAGTCTGAAAGAAGACAAAATATACCAAAACCTCAAAATCGAGCAGTGCATGAAAAAACACGGGTTTTGCCCATAGTGTCTTGACTTAAGTAAAATATAATTTCTTAATTTTTATCCTTTCGTTTTGGTGTGAAATGTGACATGGGGATGTCTTTCACGAAACCTGTCCACAATACCACACACACTCACCCTTGTGTCAGCTGTGACGGCTTTATGACTGTTGGGTTCAAGCCCGTGACAGCAGTCAGATTAGCACCACCCAGTCCTGTACCTGCCACCAGCAGCTGCCCTGCCCCCTGTGTGGCCGTTGTCGCCGTGGAAACTGGCTGTGCGGCAGCGGCCACTTCCTGTTTTACGGTGGTGGTGGACGGGCTGAGCGAGTGTGACACCACGGCAGGAGCAGCCGTGGCCACAGCAGGAGCCACGGAGATGACAGATGGTGGGTTAGATATCACCTGACCCAGAGCTCCACCTACAGCACAGAGAAAGTGTCACATGACTCACAAGTTCACATTAGGAATATTGAGGAAGGAAAAGCTGTAATGGCAGGAGGGACGCACCACTGAGTGTGAGGTTTGAGCTGCTGCTGTTGTTCAGAGAAACCACAGAATTGACCGTCAGTGTGTTTGTGCCGCTGGACACCTGAACACAACCAATCACTCATCAATAATCAATAAGACAACACTTCACATGCAGAAACACTCGCTGCATCCACAGATTACAGCATCATACACAAAACAGCTGAGTTTGCAGTCGGGCTGCAAGATTTGGGGGAAAAAATATATAATTGTGATTTTTCTGACAAAAATTGTGATTCTGATTTAAAACGTGATTAAAAAAAAACCTCCAGGTTTGCTGTGCTTGTCTGTAGGACTGCCCCAAAAAGATGATCAAAATGACATCAAAAGAATAATAATTACTACTACATTTATTATTACTTCACAAGTTCGCCTGCCCATCCAGTCCTGAAAAAGGTTAGAGAAAAACGTACTGCGCCATGGTACAACAGTAATACCCATTCTCTCAAGAAAAAAACTCGTAGTCTTGAGCGCAAATGGAGAAAAACTAACTTGGAAGTTTTTAGAATTGCGTGGAAAAACAGTATGTCCAGCTATAGACAGGCTCTAAAAGCTGCCAGGGCCGAGAATATCCACAAACTCATAGAAAATAACCAAAACAATACAAGGTTTTTATTTAGCACAGTGGCTAGATTAACAAATAACCAAACGCCACCCGATCTAAATATTCCCTCACAGTTTAATAGTAATGACTTTATGAAATTCTTCACTGATAAAATAGATAACATCAGAAATACAATAACAAAATGTAGATTCTACAGCGTATAATACTTCAGCTTCATTCATCGCACCAAAAGATAAACTGCAGTGCTTTACAACTATAGGACAGGAAGAGCTAAATAAACGTATCACTGCATCTAAACCAACAACATGCCTGTTAGATCCTGTACCCACTAAATTACTGAAAGAGTTGTTACCTGTAGCAGAAGAACCACTTCTCAACATTATTAACTCGTCGTTGTCTTTAGGTCACGTCCCAAAACCATTCAAGCTGGCGGTTATTAAGCCTCTTATTAAGAAACCACAACTAGATCCTAGTGAACTGGCAAATTACAGACCCATCTCAAATCTTCCTTTTATGTCTAAAATTTTAGAAAAAGTTGTGTCTGCACAATTGCGCTCCTTCCTGCAAAAAAATGATCTCTATGAAGAATTTCAGTCAGGTTTCAGGCCCCACCATAGCACAGAAACTGCACTTGTTAAAATTACAAATGACTTGCTTCTTGCGTCAGACCAAGGCTGTATCTCATTGCTAGTTTTACTTGATCTTAGTGCTGCGTTCGACACTATAGATCATGACATACTCATAGATCGATTACAAAACTATACAGGTATTCAAGGGCAGGCTTTAAGATGGTTTAGATCCTACCTGTCCGATCGCTACCACCTTGTTCATTTAAATGGGGAGTCATCTCAATTATCACCAGTAAAATATGGAGTGCCACAAGGATCTGTCCTAGGTCCTCTGCTATTTTCGATATACATGTTGCCCCTTGGTAATATTATTAGAAAATACGGGATTAGCTTCCACTGTTATGCAGATGATACTCAACTATATATCTCAACAAGACCAGATGAAACTTCTAAATTATCTAAGCTAACAGAATGTGTTAAAAATGTAAAAGATTGGATGACCAATAATTTTCTCCTATTAAATTCGGATAAGACAGAGATATTACTTATTGGACCAAAAGACAGTACACAGAATCTCGTGGATTACAATTTGCAACTAGACGGATGTACAGTTACTTCCTCTACAGTCAAAAATCTGGGTGTTATATTAGATAGCAACTTGTCTTTTGAAAATCATATTTCCCATGTTACAAAAACAGCATTCTTCCATCTTAGAAACATTGCCAAACTACGAAATATGTTACCTGTTTCTGATGCAGAAAAGCTAGTTCATGCATTCATGACCTCTAGACTGGACTATTGTAATGCACTGCTAGGTGGTTGTCCTGCATCCTCAATAAACAAGCTACAGGTAGTCCAAAATGCAGCGGCTAGAGTCCTTACCAGGTCAAGAAAATATGATCATATTACCCCAATTTTACAGTCTCTGCACTGGCTACCTATTAAGTTCCGTATCAGTTACAAAATATTATTACTTGCCTATAAGGCCCTTAATGGGCTAGCTCCTGCGTACCTAACTAGTCTTCTACCACGCTACAATCCATCACGCTCCCTAAGGTCGCAAAACTCTGGACTTTTGGTAGTACCTAGGATAGCAAAGTCCACTAAAGGAGGTAGAGCTTTTTCGCATTTGGCTCCCAAACTCTGGAATAGCCTTCCTGATAACGTTCGGGGTTCAGACACACTCTCTCTGTTTAAATCTAGATTAAAGACACATCTCTTTGGCCAAGCATTCAAATAATGCATATCATAATCTTGTACTGCAGTTATATCTGATCAAATGCACATTATTATTCTTTAGTTTGGGTTAAACAAATAAATTTTGCTTGGTTGGAACAGCAGCTACGCTAATTATGTCCCTATTTGTTTCTCTGTTTTTGCCACAGGATTGACATCCCGTGGTAACTAGGATTTACACAAGCTTCAGTCTGGATCCAGAACACCTGAGAAGAGATGATGCCAACCCCTCAGAGGACCTCAGATGATGCCAACCCTGAAACAACCCACCAGATCCAGTCTGTATCCAGATCAGATGGTCACTGCAGTCACCCGGATCCAGTACGTATTCAGACCAGATGGTGGATCAGCACCTAGAGAGGACCTCTACAGCCCTGAAAGACAGCGGAGACCAGGACAACTAGATGAACACCAGATACAGATGTTATTCCCCTGTAAAGACCTTGTCTCAGACGACCACCGGGACAAGACCACAGGAACCAGATGAGTCTTCTGCACAATGTGACTTTGCTGCAGCCTGAAATTGAACTGCTGGTTTGGTCTGGCCAGAGGAGAACTGGCCCCCCGACTGAGCCTGGTTTCTCCCAAGGTTTTTTCTCCATTCTGTCACCGATGGAGTTTTGGTTCCTTGCCGCTGTCGCCTCTGGCTTGCTTAGTTGGGGACACTTCATTTCCAGCTGGTGCAAAGCCTGCTGCTTATATAGGCTCGTAATGATGATTGACAGGACTGAATGATTAGGCTCCACCCGAACCTACTTTTGGGACTAATATTACTATTGTATTGTGTAATAGTTTTATTTCTTATTTTGTTTAATGGTTTTATTTAGTAGTAGTAATAATAGTAGTCATAACCATAATAAAAGTAGTAGCAATTATTATTACATTGTCATATTGATATATATTTTTTTACAGTGAAATAGTACAATAGTAATATTTATTTTATTTCACTGTAAAATAAAAGTTACATTATCAATGACTACTACATAATTATTATTACTACCTTTATTATGATGATTTTATTATAAAAAAATAAAACTATTAAACAAAATAGGGAATGTCATTATTGTATTACTTCACTGTAAAATATAAAAATGTCACTATATATCAATGACTATAAAATAATATTTTTTCTATTTTATTATGATTATTAATACTAAATAGCATTATTAAATAAAATAAGAAGTATTATTATTGCATAATATTATTTTTATTATTTCCTTATTTATGATTATTAAATTCCTTTTTTCTTTTTCTTTTCCTTTTTTTGTCTTGGTTTTATATCACATTTATGATTTTTTTTGGGTGGGAGGGTCCTGGAAGGGTTTAAATTGAAACAATTTGTAATCTCTTATTTTTCATTGAATGTATCATTATGTATTGTCTTGTTAAATACCAATAAAAAGATTTTTTAAAAAAAGTTTAATAACCATGTGATAATCACATTAAGCCATATGGTGATTTCGTTTTATTTCGGGGTTAATGATAAACGAACTTGGCTTGCTGTCCTCGACAGAGGCTCGGCTTGAGCTCCAAGTTCAACCCCCCATTGCATGTCGCTGGGATGGTGCAAAGCCTGCTGCTTATATAGGCTCGTAATGATGATTGACAGGACTGAATGATTAGGCTCCACCCGAACCTACTTTTGGGACTAATATTACTATTGTATTGTGTAATAGTTTTATTTCTTATTTTGTTTAATGGTTTTATTTAGTAGTAGTAATAATAGTAGTCATAACCATAATAAAAGTAGTAGCAATTATTATTACATTGTCATATTGATATATATTTTTTTACAGTGAAATAGTACAATAGTAATATTTATTTTATTTCACTGTAAAATAAAAGTTACATTATCAATGACTACTACATAATTATTATTACTACCTTTATTATGATGATTTTATTATAAAAAAATAAAACTATTAAACAAAATAGGGAATGTCATTATTGTATTACTTCACTGTAAAATATAAAAATGTCACTATATATCAATGACTATAAAATAATATTTTTTCTATTTTATTATGATTATTAATACTAAATAGCATTATTAAATAAAATAAGAAGTATTATTATTGCATAATATTATTTTTATTATTTCCTTATTTATGATTATTAAATTCCTTTTTTCTTTTTCTTTTCCTTTTTTTGTCTTGGTTTTATATCACATTTATGATTTTTTTTGGGTGGGAGGGTCCTGGAAGGGTTTAAATTGAAACAATTTGTAATCTCTTATTTTTCATTGAATGTATCATTATGTATTGTCTTGTTAAATACCAATAAAAAGATTTTTTAAAAAAAGTTTAATAACCATGTGATAATCACATTAAGCCATATGGTGATTTCGTTTTATTTCGGTTAATCGTGCAGACCTAATTTGAAGCTTTAAATTACCATTCAATTACTGTGTTAATGACTGTGAAAAGCAGCAGAATAATGTCAGTAATGAACATGAATGAAGACAGTAAACAGTGTCACATGACTGCAGGATCTGGAGTGACTCTGGTTTATGACATACCGCTGTGGTGGCGCTGTTGTAGATGGTTTTGATGGCTGATCCAGGCGATTTGCCACCGCTGCTGGGAGGATTGATCCGCTTCTCCTTCTGTCTGCGGTTACAGAACCAAACGCGTACCACCTCCTTCTTCATGTTGAGCTGATCCGCAATCAGCGTGATCTCCTCTGATGACGGCTTTTGACTCTGCTGCAGATGAGACAGAAAAGCTCAATGTAAACACTTCGTCTCATTAGCGTTCAATACAGATATTAGCTAATTACTATAGTTAACTTTAACTAAAACACAAACCATAAAAAAATCATTACTTGAAGTAAAATTAAATGTTAACTGAGATAAAATATACAAAACATCTCAACTAGTTGCCACGGCAACATTTCTTATTTTAATTTAGTTTAACTTTATGTAATAAAATCTAAAACTAAAATGAAAATTAACAACTTTAAAAAATCTAAAACAAAAAAAAAAAGACAAAAATCACACAACAAAATGACTAAAACTTTATATAAAACAAAAAATGGAGGACTTCTGGTTAGGCGAGATATGGAGTAGGACATGTTTGCGAAAGGGTCCTACAGAATTTCAATATATTTGCAGATGAGACAGAAACGCTCAATGTAAACGCTTCGTCTAATTTCATTTAATAGAGATATCAGCTAAGCCCCGCCTCCAAAACATCAATCACCATTCCTACCTTAGCAGCTATTGCCATCCGCAGGTGCTTGTTCTTTTGGATAGTTTTACATGTAATTTTATGGAAATTATCCAAAAAACACAGTAAAACTTTGTTGTGGTAATTTACTGCAGTGTAAATCAGTGTTTCTCAACTTGTGAGTCCGTTCTGAGTGGGTCACGGAGTGTACAGGCAAAGAAACAACATCAACAACAAAAAACGTAATTCTAAATGTTTTTCTGATGCGAGAAATTGATTTTGAAATATGTGCGTGAAAGCTGTTGACACTTTTTTTGCAGTTTAAATAAAGACTGCCTGAGAAAAACGTGCTGTCCCGATTCAGTATCTGCGGTCAGATGAGATGTCAGGCTTAATGTCAGTCTCATTATTCTATCGTTATTTTTGTAACTTATGAAATAAAAAGTTTCTCACCTCAGAAAAAATGAACTATCCTGTCCTGTCAGACATTATACTATGCTTGTAGCATGCGCAAATGTGGCGGTGCACGCTGTATATCATTTCACTAAAGCACAAAAGAAACTATGAGCATGCAACGTGTGAAATAAAAGTAAAGTACCAATAAATCACATAACTGGTACTTCGTGTGAAGGATTTGCATGAAGGTATGATATTTTTTTTAAACAAATTTTATATATATATATATATACATATATATATCATAAAGTGGGTCATATATATATATATATATCATAAAACGTGGGTCCCATGGCCAAACCAGTTGAGAAGCACTGGTGTAAATGACTGTCACAGTCAATAACATTTCACTGGCAAACACAAATCTGCAGCTCACTGCTATGGGATGTTGTTTCTGGTTAACAACAGTAACTAGGAGGGGCAGAGCTCAATGTGTGTGATACAGTGGTGAATGTTGAGCTCTGCTGCCCTCTAACGGTCAGGAGACACGCTCACCTCCAGGAAGCTCTTCTCTAAGGCCAGACGGATGATGGTTTCAATGCTTGTCCGCTTCTTACGCCGCCGGTTCAGACTCTCACAGAGACCCGGGGACATTTCATTCGGACTCGACACCACACAATCAGCAGACATGTTCTCTGAGGAAGAGCAGAGATGCTCATGAAAAACACTGACAGATGATCTCAAATAGATGCAGGGCTGTGCAATACTGTTTTTTTTTCTTTCTGGGATTTTGCCAATAACGATAAGTAGCCCATATGTTTTTGGTTTAGACCTGTTGGGTTCAGCTGACTCACAAAGTTTTTCATATTAGCAGTGACAGATATTAAGGGTTTCATTAAGCAGTGCTATTTGGCAATTGAATTTGATTTCTACTGTAGTGTCATTTTTAGCTAGTTGCCACGGCAACATTTCTTATTTTAATTTTGTTTAACTTTATGCACTAAAATAACTAAAAACTAAAATGAAAATTAACAACTTAAAATCAAAAACTAAAAAAATGACAAAATCACACAAAATTGCTAAAACTTTATATAAAATAAAAAACGGAGGACTTGGGACCGGAGGACCAGTTAGGCGAGATATGGAGTAGTCAAGTCAAGTCACCTTTATTTGTATAGCGCTTTATACAATACTGGTTGTGTCAAAGCAGCTTTACAGTGTAAAACAGGAAAATAGATTGTCAATAATGCAAAAAGACAATAAGTCATTTTTCCAGTAAAAGTCAGTTCATTGATGATTCAGTGATGTCATCATCCAGTTTAGCTCTCTTCCAATAGTGTCTGTGCAATCAGTCAAGTAGTACATGTTCGCGAAAGGGTCCTTCAGAATTCCAATATTTTTGGCATTTATGCACATTTCTACTTATTATCTACAAGTCTGAGTGCCTACAGTTAATTGTATCTATCAGTGATAATTTTTTTCTCATCTTGTGTAACAAAGATCAAAACTAAAGCCAGAAAGAGAGAAGCATCTCGCTCACCTGCAGTGGACATCAAACCCGGCCCACATCCAGATGTGACATCAGAAGCCATGCTCACGCCCAACTATGTCACACTCATTAACTTTGAAACAGGAAGAAGCATCGAGAAGACTAGGGCTGTGTCCGAAATCGCCCCCTATACCCTCATTCACTAGTGCGGGAATTCATTCGGCGCGTGACTCTCACGGTGCATTAGGGGCATTCTCTAGCCGTTGAGCGTGCACCAGTTGTACACTCGTTTTTGCAGTGCATTGTGGGATTGAATGAGTGCACTCGAGAACGTCCACTATGGTTTCGGACACCCCTAAAAATGGCTGTTCCCTCAAATAGTGCCCTATTTAAGGGTATAGGGGGCGATTTCGGACACAGCCTATGGCGTTATTTTCTTCTTCTTCTTGGCTTTTAACGGCGGCTGGCAACCAGCGTAATTAGGTGCATTACCGCTACCTTCTGCAGAGTAGTAGAGTGCGGAACAGAGAGTTACATTCTATTTATTAATCCCGTCCTTTTAAGAAAATTAAAGAAAGCTTTACTATTTATTTCAGTTGCCTTCTATTATAGACAACCTATTCTTTCCTTGTTTTACCAATATGTCTTATTTTTTACTTACTTTGTTAATTAAACTGTAGAGAAATCTACCCTTTTCGTTGTTGTCCCACTTTATTTGCCATTCTGCAATAACCTTTTTCCAGATTAAAACCTTAATGTTCTCATAGCCCCATCTTTAAGACGTTTCAACATTATACTTGTGATCTGATCTTTTCCTGGAGACGACAGTGTATTATTTAAATTACTAATTGCTCTTTTCAGTTCATCTAGAGTAAACAGGAGGTTAACTGACTGATCTTCTATTCCCCCATTTTTTCCTAGATCTTCTAGATGTTGTCTCTTTGTTATTTCCCTCCTCCTCCTTCCTTCTTCACTCAAATTCCCTGACCCATGGATCTGTACAAATGTTTTTACCAGCATTTCTGCTTTGTCCTTGTCTGTTACCGCAATTTCCCTTTCTGTTTCTAATACTGGATATACCCACTCTCTTTTATTGCCTCCCACCTTCCTCACTCAAGTTCCCTGACCCATGAATCTGTACAAATGTTTTTACCAACATTTCTGCTTTGTCCTTGTCTGTTACCGCAATTTCCCTTTCTGCTTCTAATACTGGATATACCCACTCTCTTTTATTGCCTCCCATTTTTTTTATCATACTCCACACGTCACCCACGTTCTCCCAATCTCACCACAAAAGCTTTGCCAGCTGTCTCTTTTAGCTTGCCTCATAGTTCTTCTTAGTGGTAGAGGATTTAATAGAGGAAAGAGAGCTGGTTTGTTTGAATGATGGCAGGGGTACAAGGATAGATCCTCGAACAGGGATGGAGTCTGTGTTGGATTTGACATTGGTTTCTAATAATTTAGCTAGTAAATGTGATTGGGAGGTTTGGGAGGAATCTAGCATTGGGAGTGATCACTATCCAATATTTACAACTTTGGATATAGAGATGGAGAGAACATCAGCACAAGGAAGAGGAAGATGGGTATTTGAAAAAGCAAACTGGGCAAAATTTGAAGAAATGTGTGAGGAAAGATTAGAAGTAATTGACTCAAAGCAAGAAATTAACAACTTAGATGATAACATTTGTGCCATACTGCTTGAAGCAGAGTCGGAAACAATCCCAAAAAGTAAAGGAAAAATGACAAGGAAAGCAGTTCCATGGTGGACAGATGAGTGTGGTAAAGCTGTGAGAGCTAGAAATAAGGCTTTTAAACTTCTTAAAAGAACACATAATTATAATCATTTAATATTATACAAGAAAGCTCAAGCAGTGGTAACAACCCTCTACATTGCGAGTAAATCACTCGCATATGCGACTAAATCTTACTCTGGGCGACTAAATAATGTCTAACATTAGCCATTGGCTAATAAATTCTTAGATTTTACACGCCAGTATGTGTGTGAGAGGCATTCAACACATATTTTCACTCGATAAACACGCTGACTGAGCGCTTGAGAGTTTCACTCTCCGTCAAACGATCTGTACTATTTGGATGCGCTCAATAGATCATGTCATGTACTCAATGGATGCACAGTATGTAGCACGCAGCGCACCTGTATTTGACGTACCGTAAACTAGTGTGAAGGCGCACGACTCGTTCCCAGCACCCTATGTTGTATTCCTTGTTTAATAAATGTTGCACATTCTCCACCATTCCCTTCTTCCCTATCATGACGTACTACTTTATATCCCTGTAAAACATAATCCAAACGACATTTCAACCAAGTTTCCTGAACACAAATTACATCCGGTTTTATATACAATTCCTCAATAAAATGCTTGAACTCCTGACCATTTGCTATCAGGGATCTAGCATTCCACTGAAAAACCTGCGTTCTCTTTAGAAGTTTAAAAGCCTTATTTCTAGCTCTCACAGCTTTACCACACTCATCTGTCCACCATGGAACCGCTTTCCTTGTCATTTTTCCTTTACTTTTTGGGATTGTTTCCGACGCTGCTTCAATCAGTATGGCACAAATGTTATCATTTAAGTTGTTAATTTCTTGCTTTGAGTCAATTACTTCTAACCTTTCCTCACAAATTTCTTCAAATTTAGCCCAGTTTGCTTTTTCAAATACCCATCTTTCTTTTCCTTGTGCTGATGATCTCTCCATCTCTATATCCAAAGTTGTAAATATTGGATAGTGATCACTCCCAATGCTCGATTCCTCCCAAAACTCCCAATTACACTTACTAGCTAAATTATTAGAAACCAATGTCAAATCCAACACAGACTCCATCCCTGTTCGAGGATCTATCCTTGTACCCCTGCCATCATTCAAACAAACCAGCTCTCTTTCCTCTATTAAATCCTCTACCACTTGTCCGTTAGCATTTATACTTTTCCCTCCTCATAATGTATTGTGTGCATTTAAATCCCCACACCATATTACTCTACCACTATCTTGGCCATGCACTTCCTTCAACTTATCTAAAGCCAGGTTTTTACATGGATTATAATAGTTTATAATAACTATTTCCTGTCCTCTCCCCCATAACCCCACAGAAATATATTCTTGGTCTTTCCCTTTTCCCAGCACCCTATGTTGTATTCCTTGTTTAATAAATGTTGCACACCCTCCACCATTCCCTTCTTCCCTATCATGACGTACTACATTATATCCCTGTAAAACATAATCCAAACGACATTTCAACCAAGTTTCCTGAACACAAATTACATCCGGTTTTATATAACATTCCTCAATAAAATGCTTGAACTCCTGACCATTTGCTATCAGGGATCTAGCATTCCACTGAAAAACCTTCATAGATATGTATTACCCATTTGTATCCTGACTTGACCTTATCTGAAGTTCATCCCTAACTTCTTCCCAGGTCAAGCCCACCAATCCAAGATGACGTATTGCTGCTATTACAACTATCTGTATTTTTTGAGTTTTTGATTCAATCCCTGCTGTACTATTAATAACTCCAGCAATAAATGTCACCAATTTTTTCTTTTCAACTATCATATACTCTTCTGAAACGTCTTTGTTTCCTCTAACTGCATCCCCTGTCTGAACACTTTGCTTTGTATTTTGGTCTCTAACCAGTTTTGCTGCCTCAGCATAAGTTAACTTCTCCTCCACTCTCCTTGTCTGAATCACCATCCCCATCTTTAACACTTCACATCCTCTAAAGGCTGCACTATGACCCTCACCACAATTACAACACTTTGGTTTTTACTCCCTCCTCACACTTGCCATATTCATGATTTCCTCCGCATCTAGCACATCTACACTGTTCTCTACATCTTGTAGCAACATGCCCAAATCTTTGGCAATTAAAACATCTCACTGGTCCCGGTATAAACTCTCTTACGATATAACTCATTACCCCCAACATCACTCTTTTTGGAATTTCCTCCCCTTGGAATTCTATCACTACTGTTTCAGTGTCTTTCATAATCCCTTCAACAACTGACTTTAGCCTATGAGCATTCACTACTTTTCCTCCCTTTAGATTACCTTTAAATTCTTCCATGCCTATGTTAAGAGGAACACCGAAAACAATCCCTTTTTGACCCCTAGCTTTACTTCTAGTTCCAACTCTGTTTGTGCTGACAACTTTAATCCCTCCTATTTCCTTTACTTTGAGAGCTTTA